TGAATGTGGCTAATCAAAAAGCAAAAAAAGCGAAACAAAAGTTGACGATAGTAGCTAATCTCTCTTGGCATCAAATGAGAGCAGTTTGACATACGGCTATCCAAGGACGTCTACACCTAATTGGTACCAATTGCAGTTGATGATGAGAGAATCTAATCTCTTCGAAATCCCTCTTGAAATTTTATTGTAGGCAATTTATTCTAGAGTTAGATTTTAAATCAATTACAAGATCTTTGTTGCAGGGTGAAAAGGATGATAAGATTATCGCGTGTGTGCGGATGATCCTGAATTCCGCCACCATAGAGACACAAGGAGCTACCTCACATAGATTAGCGAAATACGCCGTTTCTTTGAGGACTGTATCCATTTACATGTATTGGAACCTAACTCTCTTGTAATTTTTATTTGCAAGAATTAATGGTGAAGGATTAATGTTCTTACAATGCTATTCTCAGTATGCATTAATAGGCTTTAACTAACATCTAACCATCATAAACATATTTCAAGCATAAAATTGATTATACTTCCTCGCCTTGTTTATCCTTTACTGGTTAAAAATAACAACAAGAAGAATGAGAACAAGAAAGTTGATGTGGAGGACTTCCTGCAGCGGAGGCTGCGGTTGAAGCTATCAAATACTCAATGTGAGTCATTTTATTCTTTTAAAAAATTAAACTATGTTGGCTCTTGTTCATGTCCTAATATAATATGTGTATGGTTTGAAGTTGTGCATTATTATTTGTAGCTTAAATGGATTTATTTGGTGTTGCAGGGATGTGTACGCCTCGTACATAGTGGAGAGCTTGAGGCAGTGATGTGTTGGACATGTATGTAGAACAGAATTTTAATTTGCTGCTTAATTTAGTGTTTGTAAAAATACTTTGTAACATTCAACTACACCTATGCATGGTCACAGGTCTAGTGATTACTGCTTGTTTTTAGGCTCTAATCAAATCTAGTGGAGCTCCAGGAAACAAAAATTGCTAGCACTTCCTTTTACTAAAGCTGAATATGGAGCATTGGCTGAAATTGCTACTAAGGCTGCTTGGATTTATAGTTTGTTCTCTGAATTGGATTTAACTTTTATTGGTTTGCCTATAATCTGGTATAATAATATAAGTGATGGATGTTTTGCTTCTAATCTAGTTTTCATGTTAGAACAAACCATATTGAGATTGATGCTTATTATGTTAGGGATCAAGTTACTTATAAGAAACTTGTTATTCAACACGTTCTGTCAGAGTTTCAAACAGGAGATATTTTAACCAAGGCCCTGTCATCTGCTGGGTTTGAGCAACTTAGAGACAAGTTGCAAGTTGTTCTGGTTATTAATTTAAGGAAGAATGTCGCATGAATTATACCTGATTGTTTTCAAGATGGTTTGTTTAAGTAGTAAAACTGCTGAGTCTAAAATTGGTTAACCCTGAAGGAGGATTTGATGACATTGAAGATGTTTAGTATTGAGAATTCTGAAGTTGCTACTGTAAAGTTGGTTAGAGCCAGGGAGGATTTACAGGCTTTGTAATTCCAACTCAGAATAGAAAAGAAATGAGAAATCAACAACATTGAAGCACGGATACTGGAAGTCTATGGCTTGTTTCCATATCGTGTATTCTTATCCTTGTTTTCGAATCAAATGTGTCTAAATTGTGCCTAAATCAATTTATACATAGCCTAAAACCAATTTTTCATTCACGGTAGTTTACACAAACCATTTTTTTGAAATAAACTCCATTTATCTTTATCAATGGCAGAACACTTCTATTCATAATCACACAAACCAGTCCCACCAAATTGACTGGATTTTATCTCATCAACTCAACTCCATTCAACACATTCATCCAACCAAAAACAAAAATTTCAAAAAAAAAAACTTGAAAAAGGAAACTGTTTAATTACCGCGAAGACGAAGAAGACGCAGATGGAAGACGAAGAAGAAGCGCAGAGAGTCTAGAAGAAAAACACCGCGAAGACGAAGAAGATGCAGATGGAACGAAGAAGATGGTAATGGCTGCCTGTGAAAATGAAAATTTTTTGAAACTTGCCCCAAATGTTTTAACCTAAAACTAAAACGCGAAAAATTGTTTTTTTAAAAATTTTTAATAACATTATGGACGGCCGTCCAACCATTATGGACGACCGTCCCTGGAATATGGATGCCCGTCCATATTTGATGGACGGGCGTCCATGTGAGTGAACGGTCGTCCAAATTTGATGGACGGCCGTTCACTAGAAAAAAATTATAAAGAAATGGGAGAACGCGTTCCACGTCGGTCGGTACAAAAATTCGGTGTAAAAAATTCGGAGTCCGTAGTGTTATTGTAAAATAAAATTAAAAAATTTGTAAAACTTTGGGGATGGCCGTCCATAAATTATGGACGGCCGTCCCTTACGTTTCGACGGGCGTCCATTCCTAACGGACTCCCGTCCATACTTTAAAAAAAAAAAAAAATGTTTGGACAGGTGTCGATTTGTCCATTATTTTGGTTTCTACAAATTAAAGAAAAACTTTGGACGATGCCTTCTCTGATTCCAGCCGCAACTCAACCCTTCTCAACCTCCATGCTGCTTCCTTCTTCTGTGCTGCCCAAGCACGATGCCCTTCTTCCAACTCTCTGCAGCAGTCTACCAGCTCAGATACCAAACATGCTCTGAAATCTCCATGGCTGAAATAGCACGGATTCTTCAGCGCCATGATCAAGTTGCACAAAAAATAGCAAAACCAGTAACGTCTTATTTATGTGTGTCTCTGTGAACTTCTGGAAGAAAGAGAGAGAGAGAGACCTCCTTGACTAAATCCACATGCAAACACATTTTTTGGATCTATTCCAGCAGCTACTTCCGTGTTTATCATTGCATGCACATTCTGAACCACTTTATCCATTTTTATTTGGCTCATGATCATTCCATCAATATAGGATATGGGATATGGAGGTAATTCAAGGGTGGAGATTGAGACTAACATTGCCAATACAATGAATACTTGTGCTACTCAATTTCTAACTCTAAAAAGAAAAAAAATCTTGCATGATCATTCCATCAATATAGGATATAGGACATGGAGGTAATTCAAGGGTGGAGATTTCAGAGCATGTTTGGTATCCGAGTTGGTAGACTGCTGCAGAGAGTTGGAAGAAGGGCATCGTGCTTGAGCAGCACAGAAGAAGGAAGCAGCATGGAGGTTGAGAAGGGTTGAGTTGCAGCTGGAATCAGACAAGGCATCGTCCAAAGTTTTTCTTTAATTTGTAGAAACCAAAATAATGGAATGGACGCCTGTCCAAACATTTTTTTTTTTTAAGTATGGACGGGTGTCCATTAGGAATGGACGCCCGTCCAAACGTAAAGGACGGCCGTCCATAAAATTTATGGACGGCCGTTCCCAAAGTTTTACAAATTTTTTAATTTTATTTTAATAGGGATGGGCGTCCATATTATATGGACGCCCGTCCTTCGAATATGGACTCCCGTCCATATAATATGGACGGGCATTCGTGTGAGTGAACGGCCGTCCAAATTTGATGGACGACCGTTCACTAGAAACAAATTGTAAAAAAATAGAAAGACGCGTTACACGTAAGCCAGTACAGAAATTCGGTACTAATATTTCGGTGTCCGTAGTGTTATTGATCATACTGTTATATGCTAACCTAACATTTTGAATTCCTCTTCCAGTAAGTTGAGTAATTAAAAGCTGGCCTCCCAACCATTACAACTGATTTCACAGTTGCATCGCACCTAGAATATGTTTTACATTTATATAGGGTTCACATGCTACTACAAAAGTTGTTCTTTACTCTCCAGTCTCCACCTCTCCTCTTTGTTGCATTTGCATAATCTAAATACCAATGACGCTTAAGTTATAAAAATTGTAAAACCAATTACATACACATAAGTTGATGAAACAACATTCTCTAAATTATTGATTAGTTACTACATACGAACCCAAATCCTTAACCATATAGGAACTATTCAATGTTATGGTTTCCTCTGCATCATCCGTATTGAAATAAATTAATTCGACAATGTCTGCATGATAACCATAAATCATGTATTATTCAAAAACAGCTCCAACAAAATGATTTCGAAGGCATATACATCAACTTTCTCTATTATGAGTCCAAAATGGGTATATACTGGAACTAAATCATCAAGTAAATGATTGCTGAAAATTCTCAACCAAAAATGTTTTGCTTAAGGTCTATTTCTTCATTTATGTTCAAAAATCAAAGAATTGTATCATATCTCAAATTAAATAGGCTTTAGAGCTATATCAGCAAGACTGAGGGAATTTTTATACCCAAATGCGCCTCTTCTACCAACTATCCATCTACCAGAAACTTTGCCAAACCGAAATTTCCCACCTGTTTCTAAGAGTGATAATATATAATAACCAATGTTCGTATACATATTCAGTGTATTTCTTGGAAATTTTCAATTAATAAAAATTAAAGAGAAACTATGAATTGCAGAAAATATGGAACTGATCGTATGAAGTCATGGGTGAGGAGGATGTTATTAGGTCTAAAATCTCTATGATCAATGAAACATTTCAAATTTCACAGCAAAAGTCCCGAAGATTACAACTCACCTTGGATCAAATTGGATTGTCAAGACATGCATGCCAATCAGCCTTCATGCATCGATTTCTGGCGAGGGAGGAACACGTCGTCGCGATTTCAAAGACTGGAGTTGCGATCAATTTCAGCAACGAATGATTGCGATTTCAGCAAGATTGAGTTTTGATTTATGATCTTTTTCATATTTTCGCGATTTCATTCAAAAAATTTCAAAGGTTTTTGCGCGTAGAGGAATTGAGGAAGAAGAAACTGCACAGCGCAAAAGGAGCAAGGGAAAAATTAGGGTTTTTCTAATTTTTCAGTTGGACCGGTTTTTCTTGCGGTCTAATACTGGTCTAATACTGTTCACACGGTCCATTACGTACCGTTCACGCTTTGACAACCATGAATGAATCTAAAACATACTAATTACCGCTCCAAATAAATCTGAACCAACAAGAACAGTTCCCATAACAGAATTTATGCAGCATTAATTCACATGAGGAAAGTCTAGAAGTCATTTACAAAGTTATTGACTATCCACATTGCTACAAATACTTAACAAAATACACAGCCTACTACATTTTAGCGAGCCAGACAACAAGGTAAAGCAAACTGAAGAAAAAATAACTTCAGATTAACTTCTTAATCAGAATCTGAGCTTGAACCTGCTTCAGGCCCATTTGCTTTCTTCTCTGCTTCTGTCTCATTTGCTTCCTTCTCTGCTTCTGTCTCATTTGCTTTCTTCTCTGCTTCAGTCTGCTTAAAAGCCTTGGCAATTTCATCAATGGGAACCAAAGGAAGATAGCCCACGACCGGATAACCCTTCTTGTTCAAGTCCAAAACAACATGGTTATACTTGCCCGACCAGTGTGCAGCCGTTGGCACAGTAATATCCGACACAGTGTGGAAGATTGCATAGTGGTTGAGTTTATGCCATGCCTTAGCAGAACTTGCGAGCACGAACTGTTTATACTCTCCAGCAGCATAGTGCAAAGCTGCTCGTGGCCCTCCAGTCTGAGCCTCACTTACAAACTTCTGGGCTTTCTGTAAGGCCTTCTCTATTAATATATGGGCGTGGCTCACAACATGCTTTGCCGTTGGTGGGGCATGTTTATCAAACTTGTGTGAAGCTTCATCCACCTGCACTTTCCGTAAACAAGTAATTTTTATACTGCCGAATCCAGAAATATTTCTTCTTAACTTTATATTTCAGTCACAAACAAAACAAATAAAAAATTTAAAACCTGAGAAAGTCACGACACCAAGCTATCATTCATTCTTTCTTTAACATCTAGATGCAAAGGTTTCTTTCTTCATTTTATACTACTACTACTACTAATGATAATAAATCCGATCAAACAATAATAAAAATAAGATCAACAACGGCGAGACTGTTATTTTTCACTGAAAAGTTTAACTAAACAAACAGAACTCACAAAAACATTTCTCGATGTAATGATAGAAAGAATCATAAAACCAACTGATCCAAACAAATACTAAACACAATACTTTACCTTCTTGTCGAGAAAAACAAGGACATCAACAGGAACGTACTTAAATTTCTTGTAGACAGGTCCGATGACGGTTGTCACGGCACTCTCCACGGTCCCAACCGCCGATCGCAACGGCCCCGAGTTACTCTTGGCGTAGTCGTACAGACTCGACACGCAGACCAGCGCCTTAATCGCGGCCAACCTCACAAATCCAAGGTGCTTCAGTTCTTGTTTCTTGTGCTCGGTCTCCATCTCCACAACGAACAAAGAGTTGTCTTAGATCACCAATAACTTTAGCTAGTGTCAATAGTCTTGCTTTCTGCGATGGTTCGTGAATGATGAATCAATTTGAATACTGGGAGTGTCATCTTTATAATAATGAAGACAGACGAAACTGGAGGCACGTTATAATTTTTAATCTGAATCGTTCATTTGATCGTGAAGTTGAGATTAGATCTGCTTTTCATCTATGGGTGAATGGGACCCAGTTGCATTTCTTGAAAAGGGCAATTGTTATATGTGATTCAGTGATTGTAAAGAGGTGGGACCTCACCTAATTGAAGAGCTTTTATTCGGAAACTAGAGGCTTCGAGAAAGACACGTGCTGACGTATTGGTTTGTTGAAAATATCTGGTGGAGGAAAGTGGGAACTTCTTAATTACTTACTAGAAGAATAGACGGTGCTAAATTGCATAGAAGCTTGTAGGTTGCAACCGTCGGTTCGTCGATAATAGCGACAAAAGAAATCCTATAACAATTTCAATTTACTTTATATGTGTACGCATTTCTTTTATTCTTGACAAGATTTTCGTTTAAAAGATTCTGATACTCGTCCTTATCTCATTTTCATATAGAGACAAAGTAGTTTTCTTTATTAAACAACAAATAAATATTTAAAGAAAATAAAAAATAATTGTTTTTGGATTGAGATTTTAAAGTAACGCATTTTACTGTTTTTTTTTTTTTCTCACAGAATAACCTGGTTAGTAAATATGAGAACAAATATGAGGACGGCAAAAAATAATACATAAATTTTATGAGTATGATACTATAAATGATAAAAAATATATTTATAAAAATTTAGTTATAAAATTTAGATACTGAAAAAATATAATATATATATAAATTTAATATGGTATATTATTAATAATATATTTTAAAAAATATGATAATATTAATCTTGATTTTAATATTTTTTATAATTATTGAATTAATTTTTTTGTATTTTTATAAATATATGATTCATATTTTTTTAATTATAATATTTTAGTTTATAAAAATTATATTATTTAATTTGTAATTAATTATTATAAAAGCTGACCAATTATTAAAAAATAAATAATTTTATTTATTATTAAGTTGAAGAAGAGACAAAGAATGGTACTTGTTGAAGAATGTTGAAGAAGCGCCAAAACAGAGAAGAAGAGAGGAACAGGGCACACAAAAAGAGAAGAAGAGGCGCAGGAGAAATGAAGGGGGCGCAGAAAAAAGAAGAAAAGAGAACAAGGCGCCAACAAAGAGAAGGAGAGGGAGGATGAGGGCGCAGAAGAGGGGAGGAAGGCGCCAAAACGAAAATGATAAGATTGGGCATCGAAGCTTTACACCAAATCACAGTGATAAAATCTTAATCATCAATTAATATTAACTAATAATAAATCAACGGTCATAATTTTATTATGTTATTCGATACACAATCTTTAATGACTGTAACATTATTCAGCGCTAAAAAGAGACTGGCATCATTTTGATAAAAAAGAGACTATATCTAAAATAACGTCATTTTGATCAAATTTTATCAAAAACCGATATTATTTTGGTTTATTAAATAATAAAATTTTATTTTGAAAAATATAAACTAGGATATATAATTCATGTATAATTCGACTGTACTTATAAAATATGGGAATTCGTATGTAAAACGTGAATTTACTAACTAGGCAAAATAACACTCTATATTTTCCACTGGATTTTACGGACAAAAATACACTTGCATAAAAATAAACCCTAACCTCTTCCACTCCATCTTCAACTCCATTGAACCAAAGCTTAACCCTTCTCTGCTTCATTTTAATTTGAAAAGAAACCGTTAATTTTGTGTTGGAATCAAGCGGATCTAATGTAGTTATTGTTGTTTTTGGTGCAGCAAACTATCCACGTTCACTTGTTTTCAAATTTAAGGTGTGTAAAAGCATCTCCACTTTATTTTGAAGAACATCTTTCATATAAATAAAGAGTATTCTTATTAATTTTAAAATATAAAGAACACAATTTTTATTCAAATCCAATACACTCTTTAAATTTAATAAAGATGCTCTTTATTTTTAAGAAAGAGACTTAATATGAGAGATAATTAATAAATAAAATGTATTTAAACTTATAATTTATTAATTAAAATTAAAATAGAGAGTGAAATTTGACTTTCTAAATGTGGAGAGTCAAACTCACTCTCTAATTTATATTTAAAAAATAAAGAGTTTATTGGACTCTTGTTTTTATAGATAAACTCTTTATAATAAAGAGTTTAAGTCATATAAAGAGTCATTTAGAGATGCTCTAATATGCTTGTTATCCTATTTTTTTTCAATCAACTTATTGTGAAATGTTGTTGTGTTGCTTATTTTTTTTATTGAGTGTAGGGATGATGGTTTTAATAACCAACTACGGGTGAAACTTGGCAAATTTGTCAGGTTTCGGGTTGACTGGCTGGTCAAACTGGGTGTCAAAAAATTTAAAATTCAACAAATACACCCTTAAAAATTACAGTTAAGTCCCTATAAGTGTGAAATTTAGCAAAGACACCATAAATATAAATTAGCGGTCGACTTGTTGGCGATGGCGGTGACACACCAAATGTAATCCAAATCATCCCTGAGCTCATTCCCCCAAAACTAGTGTCGACAACTTAGGCCAAATCTCACCATTGCAGGCGTTGATAGCCCTCCCCATTACCACGAAAATACTCCCTTCAGCCTCTTGACCAAAACCCATCTCACCACAACCATGTTTACCTGCCAATCCCTGGCTATTGCCACCACCAACTTTTTTTTAATTTCTAGTCGATTCACTCACCAGAAATCACCTTCATCGTCACAATTACACTCACCGACCATTCCTCTTCAAAAGCCCCAACATTTCGGCCTTCTATTATTTGCTGATCATCATCTCAAATTCTAGAGTTTTTTGGTGAATAGGAAAATTGGTAATCTGGCCCAGTGAAAGCCCCGGGTCCCGGTTGAACTGGTTTAGCTGGCCGAGTCAGGCCAAGTTTTAAAACACTGGTTTAAGGTATAAAGAGTTTTTAGGGTTTANTTATTGAATTAATTTTTTTTTTTTATAGGTATATGATTTATATTTTTTTTAATTATATTATTTTAGTTTATAAAAATTATATTATTTAATTTATAATTAATTATTATAAAAATTGACCAATTATTAAATAATTTTATTTATTATTATGTTGAAGAAGAGACAAAGAGTAGTACTTGTTGAAGAATCTTGAAGAAGCGCCCAAAAAAAAAAAAAAAAGTTGAGAGGAAGAGGGCACACAAAAAGAGAGAAGAAGAGGCGCAGGAGAAATGAAGGGGGCGCAGAAAAAGAAAGAAAAGAGAACAAGGCGCCAACAAAGAGAAGGAGAGAGAGAGAGAGAGAGAGAGAGAGAGGATGAGGGCGCAGAAAAGAGAAGAAGAGAGGAAGAAGGCGCCAAAAAAAAGACTGGCGTCATTTTGATAAAAAAGAGGCAATGTCTAAAATGATGTTGGTCTGATCAAATTTTATAAAAAACGATATCGTTTTGACTTATTAAATAATACTAAAATTTTATTTTAAAAAATATGATCGAATTATATATAAATTATATGATTAGGATATATAATTTACGTATAATTTAACTGTATTTATAAAATACGAGAATTCGTATATAAAACGCGAATTTACTAACTAGGCAAAATAACACTCTATATTTTTCACTGATTTTACGAACAAAAATACACTTGCATAAAAATAAACCCTCACCTCTTCCACTCCATCTTCAACTCCATTGAACCAAAGTTTAACCCTTCTCTGCTTCATTTTAATTTGAAAAGAAACCGTTAATTTTGTGTTGGAATCAAGCGGATTTAATGTGGTTATTGTTGTTTTTGGTGAAGCAAACTATCCACATTCACTTGTTTTCAAATTTAAGGTGTGTAAGAGCATCTCCAATGATGCTCTTTATTTTGAAGAACATCTTTCATATAAATAAAGAGCATCTTCATTAATTTTAAAATATAGAGAACACAATTTTTATTAAAATCCAATACACTCTTTAAATTTAGTAAAGATGCTCTTTATTTTTAAAAAAGAGACTTAATGGGAGAGAGAATTAATAAATAAAATGCATATGAACTTGTAGTTTATTAATTAAAATTAAAATAGAGAGTGAAATTTGACTCTCTAAATGTGGAGAGTCAAACTCACTCTCTAATTTATATTTAAAAAATAAAGAGTCTATTGGACTCTTATTTTTATGGATAAACTCTTTATAATAAAGAGTTTAGGTCGTATAAAGAGTCATTTGGAGATGCTCTAATATGCTTGTTATCCTATTTTTTTTTCAATAAACTTATTGTGAAATGCTGTTGTGTTGCTTATTTTTTTATTGAGTGTAGGGATGATGGTTTTAATAACCAACTGCGGGTGAAACTCAACAAATTTGTCGGGTTTCGGGTTAACTGGTTTAACCGGTTTGACTGGCTGGTCAAACTAGGTGTCAAAAAGTTTAAAATTTAACAAATACACCCTTAAAAATTATAGTTAAGTCCCTATAAGTCTGAAATTTAGCAAACACACCATAAATATAAATCAGCGGTCGACTTGTTGGCGGTGGCAGCGACACACTAAATGTAATCCAAATCATCCCTGAGCTCATTCCCCAAAAACTAGCGTCGACAACTTAGGCCAAATCTCACTATTGCCGGCATTGATAGCCCTCCCTATTACCACGAAAATACCCCCCTCAGCCTCCTGACCAAAACCCATCTCACCACACCTTTGTTTACCTGCCAATCCCTGGCTGTTGCCGCCACCAACTTTTTTTTTAATTTTTAGTCGATTCACTCACCAGAAATCACCTTCGTTACCACCATTGCACTCACCGACCCTTCCTCTTCAAAAGCCCCAACATTCCAGCCTTCTATTATTCGCTGATCATCATCTCAAATTCTAGAGTTTTTTGGTGAATAGGAAAATTGGTAATCTGGCCCGGTGAAAGCCCCGGGTCTCGGTTGAACTGGTTTAGTTGGCCGAGTTAGGCCAAGTTTTAAAACACTGGTTTCAGGTATGAAGAGTTTTTAGGGTTTAGTTTTATTTATTTATTAAGTTTTGCTTCAAAATATAGGGTTTTTTAATGGAGTTTTTGGTCTAGATTGAGATATTGACTTGATTGTTGACTTGTTGTGTTATTGTGTGAATTTGGGTGGATTTAATGGAAATTAGACCGAGAAAATGGCAAATGGAGACTTGCGTTTTTGGTCAAAACCCATGGATTTAGTCGAATTTGGACATTCGGCCAAAAATTGCACGTCATTTGGTAAAGAAAAAATTTGGCCAAATCAGGGGGTTTCAGCTGGATTTGACTAGATAAATTCTGTCAAAACAGTCAAATTTGGTCGTTTTAAAGGGTTTCAGCCTCATTCGACCACTTTCATATCAGAGTGTAAAGTTGGCTGAATTCGACCAATATGAGTTTCGACCAAAACTCGTCTTCAACCTCCAACCAATTTTCTGACCGAAGCTCCAAAATTGGCCGAAACCCATACCCAAATTACGCATAAACCACCAATTTTCAACATATTCATTGAAATATAAGCTTAATCAATTATAACAACAACAAATCATTTCAAAAATAACTTATTTTAACATGTTTTCAATTCATATATGTAACATACTCAAAATTTTGTATTTCAAACAACTTTCAAATTCCAAAACTTACCTCTTCTCTTTTGTGAACCATTTAATAAGCTTGATATATCAAGAAATCTGTTAAAAAGTGCTCCTCCACATCACAAAATCAAGTTTTCAGCTGAAATTTTAGAGTGGAAGCATAAGTTTTTAATTAATGGTTAGGGATTAGTCATCAAGGGTAATTCCATCCATCAAATTTGTATTAAATAGAAATGTGATAATTTTTTGAGACACTTTCTAAAATGTGCTAGTTTTTAACTCACTCTCTTATTTGTATCCTTTAATATAATTTCTCTTTATTTTATGAAAAGGAGATAAAATTCATCTTAAAAAATAAGATACCTCATCGATGTGAATTTTACTCTAAACACGAGCCAAACACAGGACACATCATACTTTATGTCATCAAAAACTAATGCTTGACATAGCACAGCAATTATGGTTAGTGGTTAGTCTATTGTGGAGTTATCCACGAGTCCAATCTAATCATAGTCCTGGTTAGTGGTTACAGTATTATATCCTGGTTAAGATATTATAGATTTATATCATTATCAAATAGCAGTCTTTGGTTAAATTATTGTAAGAGTAAACGACTTTTTTCCTTAATGACATTTTCACCTGAAAAGTTTCTAAGATATTATATAATAATCTAATAGCAGTCTTTGGTTAAATTATTGCGAGAGTAAACAACTTTTTCCACCCAAGGTTTGCCTAATGGCACTTTTTCACCCCAAAAATTTTAAAATATAAATTTTTTACTTAAAATTAATATTCTGTTATTGCCCAAACCGATTATGGTGGTAAAAATTATCTCCATCACCACTATTTGAACCTTTAGTCTTCTCTCTATAAAACCCCTTTTATTTCAACATCTGATTTCTCGCTGATTGCCAACAATTGTAAAGTTAGAGTTTTTTGTTCTTAGCTAATTTTTGTTGATTTCAGTGATGAATATTCAATCAATCACCACCATTCGATCCATTGATCTCCACTCTACAAAACCTCTCTTTCCCTGGCTTCTAATAACTTGTTAAACGCCGACCGAGAAAGTGAAGTATATTTTGGGTATTAACAAAATATAAACTTTGGGTGAGAAGTGGTATTTTAAATTTTTTTTGGGTGAAAAAGTGTCATTAAGGCAAGCTTTGGGTGAGAAATGTCGTTTACTCATTACTGCAATCATCACATGTAGTGGTGGAGGCTAATCCATGGGCTAGCCGATTGATTTCATAAGCAGTTTGTTTAAATACAGGGTATTATGAGCGTTACAAATAATTAATCAAACTATCAAATCTTTAAGATGAAATTTTATTGAATACCCATCAGTTCATTACTTTTTCATTTAATCAGTCAAGTCAGTGTTTTTTGTTTGCTAGCATTAGCTCAACAAAGCCGCCCAAGAGCATCTTACCAAAAAAAAAAAAATAATAATAAATAAACTATTTATATGACTCAAACTCTTTATTATAAGAGTGCGATTGGTTCAGGAATATTACATTATTGAGAAATATTGTATTACTAGAAAGATAGATTACTAAATAATCTTTAGAGAAATGTGTTTGATAGGTTGGAATAAATTAATGGGTATGTTATAATAATATGTTTGGTTGAGAGGATAAATGAGTGGGTATGTTATGTAGATTATTAAATTGCTCTCATTTTTAAATAATAATATAATATTATTTTACCGTAATATTTTTTAAATTATTTCTTTTAGTCCTCCTATATTTGAAATTTTATTAAAACACTCCAACTATATACAACTTTAATTTGTAACAAAATCACCCCCACTCACCCCAAGCCACCGCCGGTAGCCACCACCACCACTGGAAGCCGTCGTAATGGCTCACGACCAATCGGATCTGGCTGGTCGTACGCCGATAAGGCCTAATCCGGCCAGATTTGGTCGTGAATATGGCCGTTTCACGGTTAGATCTGGCCGTTAATATGACCATTTCATGGCCACATCTTTGGCCGTGAAACGGCCAGATCTGGTCGTTCCCAACCATGGATCACAAATCCATGGTCGAAAAAGTCCTTATCGGCATACGACCGGCAAGATCCTGTCGATCTTGTGCCGATATGATGAATTTCACCAGCGGCTAGCGGTGGTGGCTAGCGACTGGCGGTGGTCTTTGATGGTTGGAGGTATTTTTTTAACTTTTAAACTTTTTTTGTGGCGGGGTGTTTTAGCTAAATTCTCAAATATAAAGAGTCTAGGTAATTGTTATTTGGTAGACATATGAGGGCAAATATGTCCGAAATGATAAATTATTAAGGGCAAAATATGGTCAAAATTAAGATTACCAAGGTAATCTTATAATAACACCCCTTGGGAAGGTAATCTGATTACCCCCAATATTACCAACAGTAAATACTATTTGCAATAAAAGATTACGTAATATTTTATTACTTGACAACCAAACGAGGGAATCTTGAAAATTAATCAAAGATTACAGGATTAATCTTATATCACCCTAAACCAAACGCCACCTAAAGGTTTGTTCATTAACACAAGAGTCTAAGAGCATCTCTAAAAGACTCTTTATATGACCAAAACTTTTTATTATAAAGAGTTTATCTATAAAAACAAGAGTTTATAGACTATTTATTCTTTAAATATGAATTAAAGAGTAAATTTGACTCTCCATATTTGGAGCATCTTCAATTGTGCTTTTTAAAATAAAAAAACATATTTCATATGAATAAAGAGCATCTTCATGGATTTTTTAATATAAAGAATAAATTTTTTATTTAAATCTAAGAGACTCTTTAAATTTTAAGAGAGAAAATATATTTTTTCAATAAAGAAACTTAATAGAAGAGATAAATATTAAATAAAATACATAGAAACTTGTAATTTATTATTTAAAATTATGACAGATAGTGAAATTTGACTTTCTAGATGTGGAGAGTCAATCTCACTCTTTAATTTATACTTAAAAAATAAATAGTTTGTTGGACTCTTATTTTTATGGATAAACTCTTTATAATAAATAATTTGAATCATTCATTTGAAGATGTTCTTAGAGAGTTAGATTTCATATTCTATCTTAATTTTAAATAATAAATTACAGGTTTTTATGCATTTTATTTATGATTTATCTCTCCTATTAAGTTTTTTTCTTGAAAAAACATATTATTTCTTCTAAATTTTAAAGAGTCTATTGGATTTGAATAAAAATTTTGTTCTTTATATTTAAAAATTAATGAAGATGCTTTTTATTTATATGAAATATGTTCTTTAAAATAAAGAGTACAATTAGAGATGCTCTGATAGATTCTTTATTCTTTAAGTATAAATTAAAGAGTGAGTTTGACTTTCTACATCTAAAGAGTCAAATCTTACTCTCTATTCTAATTTTATTTAATAAATTATAAGTTTTTATATATTTTATTATTAATTATCTTTTTTATTAAGTCTAATTTAAAAATTCTATTAGGTTTGAATATAAATTTTATTTGTTATATTTAAAAAATAATAAAAATATTATTTATTTATGTGAAATATTCTCTTTAAAACAAAATAATTGAAGATGCGTTAACATCGAAACGACATGATGCCTCACTTATAGAATGAGAAGAAATACAAAATAATCTTACTGGGGCCAATTTTTTTGGGAAGATCAAGGAATCGTGACACACAAGACAAGCCTGCTCACGGGACACGGGTTAAAGCAGCCTCAGAGCATCTCCACTGATCAAATCATTTAATACGGACAGCCAAAAAAATAAATAATTCTTTTTTTTTTTTTTTAACCAGTGGAATCCGTTTAGTTTCCGATATTTCAATTAATCTTTTATTGTCCAAAATATAGGATAAACCTCCAATAACCTTTATCAATTAATCTTTTGAAATCTTAAAGTTAGTTACTGAATAAACTAGTTAATGTCTAGATAAACCTTTAATAGTCCCCTATCATCGAAATAAATTAAATTTAAGGTTTATAAAATAATACTCTAAAAAATTATAGTTGATCAATCGGCTTAAATAAGTCAGTAATTCAATAATTACAGAGAATACTTTTATATTCAGCTTCATGGGAAATCATTTTTATATTCAGCATTCCTCAAAACAACATCAGAAATCAGACTGCCAAGAAACAATGTAAAGTGTCCAACTTATAACATTTTATTTTTCTGCTACTATGGCCTAAAAGAAGTTGCCATTTTATGGTCCATATTCAAGAATAGGAAGTTATATAACAGAATAAAGGTTGCCCAGTAGTATCACACACTCTTAAGCCTTTTAAACGAGAACTGCTTGAGATTTCTGACGCTTTACATATTGAAGGATAGGCTCTTTAACCTGAAAAAAAAGTAACAAAAAGCCTAACATATTAGAAAAAAATGGTCTTTACGACATCCATGAAGCCGTAATCTTTCAGGAACGAAACTATTCATAGCAAGAAATTGAGAATACCGTGCTTGTTTTTCTGCATCTCTTATCTTGGGAGGATCTACTACCAATAACATTGTCTGTCTCATCACAGCAACTTGTGCTTCCGTTTGCTTTGATGTTCTCATTTCCTAGTGCAAAACTCTCCCTTGACGCTACAGGCTGCACAATTCCAAGAGTAGATTATCTATCAATTAGCTGAAACACTTAAAATCATAGGAGAATCGTCACTAGAAATCATGAACTTCACCGCACTAACCTCAGCTCTGCTTGTGGGAGTGTTACCAAGGGCAAGCTCCCTTCCTTTTGAGATAGTCTGCTCACTCCTGATTGAACCATTTTGTTGAATTTCAGTTCTTCCCCTTGTGCGTGTGAGATCTGATCCAATAGAGTGAAGGGCACCACATGTGGACGTGTCAATGTGTTTGCTTCCTAATAATCAAATAAACATTTTGTACTCGTCATTTCTAACATTTAGAATTGGAAAAGAACCATATTTTTTTTACTCTAGAATCTATAAGGGATTGGTCAAGATACCCATTTTCTGGAATTCTTGATGGTTGGACTTGTTATGTGGCTCAACAGTATCCATGTTCTGCTCGAAACAAATAAAAATAATAATTAGAGAAGAATTGTACCAACACATTAAGAAGAGGGAGTTACATTTGCACGCAGATTTAAGAAGGTAATTTTGACCATAAAATCAATATCCAGTGCTTTCTTGACTTCCATTAGCTTTCTCTCAGTCAGATTGGAATGGATTACACGCTTGCCTGTTTCAAGATCAAGATAAATTGTAGAAATTAAATTGAGATATATAATCCTTAAAAATTATGTCAAGTAAGAAGTTGTCAATTTCACTGCTCATACCTAGCCTACGGTTCCCTTTGGCTACAACATAACCATCTCGGATCATTTTATCAACTAGTTTGCGCACGGTAGATTGATTGGCTTCTCCATCTAGCTTGTTCTGAAGCTTTGTGACTGTTATGTAGTTCATTGGAAGAGCATGATACAAAGCCTGATATGTTAACAATGGCAGGGCTCAGCTTATGTAATGTAGACGTAATATCCAAACATCCGACATGATGTTGTCTAAACTGGCGTAACATGAGAAAAGTGCTATCCTAAGTTCCTAGGAAATTAAATTAACAAAATTATGATGGTTGATACGAAAGCAGTCAACCTGCAAATTCTACAAAGTGAAAGGCATGCTAAAACAAAATATTAATTAACCAAGACTGTAACTGCTACTAAAGGACAAGTCAACTCTAAATCACCACATATCGCACCTCATAAGAGCATACATATAAATGTCTCTTACCTTCATGTATAAGCGATCTTCTACACTGGGAGATTTTTCATTAATTGAGACGCCATCCATTTCTTCTTTCACAACATTAAATTCATGGTCAAATTTCTGCTGGTGTATTTGCACAAAGATAAGAAGTGTGAGCCAGAATAAGGTAGCTAATGACGATTACCATACCAAAAATAAATAAATAAAAGAACAGAAAACCTCTTGCTTGTTTATCGTGTATGTATCCGTCCCACTTTTCGATAAAACACCTTCTTTCACAAGCTTGTCCATTATTTCTGAGATGTGTTCAGAAGAAAATTAAAACAGCAGCAAACTTGTTTACTAACTAAAAATGCAGCACAGTTAAGTCTTCGCTAGTTCAAACTTTAATATGAATCAGAGCCCGCATTTACCTTCAGTCAAAGCCTGCATTAAACCGTTAAATCTTCAGTCATTAGAGTTCAAATTTTAAAAAAGGAGATAAACTAAAGAATCTGCTGGGTTAATAATGGATAATCTAACTAGTTGCACTGGTATCTTTTTTGTCAGAATACTCGGAAAAGGAACCTAGAAGATGAAAACTTAGAAGCTCTTACCACTGAAATATCTGGGAAATTCGAGAGAACATCAGTAAGTTCTACAGTATCAAGGTGACGGCCCTTGATCCAGTCCGTCACCCTGGCCAATTGTTGTTCATCTTCCTCCGGGTCCTGAGTATTATCTGTGCAGCGTATAATTGGACCCAGCGCATTAATAAATCAGATATCACTAGAAAATTATAGAAGATTTAAATAAGGATGAAGGAGAAAAATGAAAAAACCAAGTTAATAAAAATTCCATCCACTTTGACTTAATCACACGAAGGTTGTCCTGTTTAAATTCAAAATGTACCTTCATCAGCCATGCCATTATCTTCCTCTGGCTGTTGCTTATCTGTCACGATAACCATTGTTAGTTCCACGAGCAACTCCCTCAAAAAAGTGTTTTGAGTGAATGGAACAAAGAAAATCGTAGTCGAAGCTATTGATGAAATTACCGATTGGCGCTACCATGTATTGATCCCTTTGTGATAAATTATCCTGAAACAAATAATGTGTTTTCAACGCAACTCAAAAATTTTAGTGTACGTTATACTCAGATTCATAAGCATAAAAATAACATTGTCACTTCACCTCACTGTCAGAATCAGAAGACTCCTCCCTTTCTAAAGAATCGCCTCCTAAGCTCACTTCATCATCTTGCATATCATCATTTTCATCCTCACAAGGATCAAGCACGCTTTTTACCTGTCAAGTAATCAAGTATGAGAAACATGACTTGAATTATGATACACTATAATTAATCATAGCCATTTCCAGAGTTCTTCATCCCTTTCCTTGAGAGCTAACACAAAATGTTTGCTGTTGACATTCCCAACCTCCATTTTCAAAGGACTTTTGTTCCATGGATGACGAGCTTCTTCTTCTGTGCAGCTTCTGAAGAATGGAGGTTCGTAATCCACTGGCTACAAGATCAGATAATTGTATCACTAATCATTTTTCTAAAATAAATGTAATACACAGGGAAAAGGAGAAAAAGGTTGTATAATCTTTTCTCAAAATATAGTCAGCGCAAAAGACCTGATGCAGAAATTCAGATTTGCGTGCAACTTAAAAGCACTTACAAGAAATGTTACCCAGCAATAGACCTGCCTACAAAGAAGTTTCATGCAACTTACACGCACTACCAAGCATATGTAGTCTCAGGAAATTTCTATCACGGTAAAGCATTCCAACTCCAAACAGTATGGGCCATCCAACCCAAAAATTCAAATTCTATTTCATGTACCTCATATTTAGGAACTAAAGAAATTCGTATGAATCATAACTGGAATAGCAATCACATGTACAATTACCTGGAACAATAAAAATTAAAGCAGTTAAATGGACATACCGTCGCATCCTCATAGTAGAGCAGCTTCATCAATATAGTACGCTGAAATGCAACAAAGAAAAATGACCATCAAAATTCAACCATGAAAAAAAAAATGCAGAATCAAAGATTCAAAATCCAACAAAATTTCAACATATTATTAGGTATAAACAAGCCTCCAAGTAAGTTACCTCTTCAGGCATCTTGTCCAGAGTTCTCATGAGCTGAACCAGTGTACGGACCATCTTACAAGCAGAACTCCTGAACAATAAAATTGTGGCACAGATAACAAAAGACACAAAAGAATTTAAAACAAGCCAACGACAGAATTAAAATGAAATTTGACAAGAGATTTTGTTTAGACCACCTCATCTGATTAGGGGTAATTTCAGTTGTAGAGTTACATTTAAATGTTCCTCCCTTTTTCTTGTTTCCAGTGCGATTGATATTCATTGAAACCTCTTGGCTATCAGATCCAGAGTAACTAAACGAAACTGCAAAAGAAGACAAGTTCGAATCATTCAAACCTCTCAAAATGTCCCAAGAGCCAAAGAAAGAAGAGGGAAAGCAATCCAATCAAACTCACAACAACAAAGTGAATCACTGGAATTACGCTAATCATCTAGAGTTGAAATTTTTACACTTTTATAGTGATCAATCAAAACCTTACATGCATATTCTTCAATCATTGGCCCTTCAACTGATTCACATACACAGAACAGAAGTGTTCTCAGATACTTTTTCTGCAGTGCATCATAAACACCTGAAAAGAAATAATAACAAATAAAGTTAACCTAAAGTACGGAAAAAACGAGAACAAAAAGTGAACAATTGAAAAGAAAATAAAAACGTATGAAGATTTAGGAACTTATTTAGATGATGATAACAGTAACATGCCTTTCTCCATCCAATCAATCAGTCTACGTGACTCAGTATCCATCGGCATCAGCTTCTTGATCTTCATCTCTATAAATTTTGGCATAATTTAAAAGACTTTTTAGCAGATGATATTCAAATTATAATCCAAATTAGAAAAGAAACGAAAATCTGATGAGAAGAGATTACCTAAAGCAGGAACAGACTTATCATTGAAGTACTTCTCCGGAAAAAGGCCTCTTATGTAACTAATATTAAATATGGCAATACGAAGCAAGTTCCTTGTCTGTTGAGAGTAAATTCATCAAAATGACATGAGATCTACTTACAGTAAATAAAAGCAGAGGCATAAATTATCATATCCTAAGTTTATATAATTATTAATGATTTCACAAACAAGATCTAAAAGCAAGAAGCTCCAAGAGCGATCAAATTTGTTAAATGTTTACCTAATAGTGTTTAACTTGTGGTGTTTAATAGAAGAAAATCCAAAATCAATAACAAAAAGAACAGAATCAATCAAATACGTTGAATGATTTAAAAACATCTAAAATTTTAGCTAAAAAAATAGGCAAACAAACAAGTTCAATTTCGATACAGATTGTTTGAACTAGGAGAGCTGCATAAAAATTTGATGATATGATGTTAAATTAATCCTTGATTACCAGAAGAAGGGAGTCCTGTTCGGTGATCTCCGCTTCCTTCACTTTC